CGGACGAACGAGACTCGTGATGTCGGATAATGTTCAACGATCATTCTCTTTGACTATAGTTCTTTCATATTAGAAAACTTTCACCGTTCCGATCGTTTCTGACCGTCCGTTCGTTCTTTTGTTTCAGTCTTTTTTTACGGCAAACTAATATCTTCGAAAATATTAGGACGATTTAACGAATACATTTATATCTATCATCTACACGTAAATGACGAGTTAAGATTTAACGAAAATTAAATATAAATCTCTAACGTGGTTAAAAGTTTTATTCATGATTTTGATTTATTCAATTGTCAAGTATAGAATGAGATTTGAAGAAAAGAATGATCTAATATAACAATCGCTTACAAAAAGGGATATACGAAAGCTGTAATAACAAAATGAATATTAGATCCAACAAAACAGCTTTTAACTCTTTTCATCGGTTTTCGTTGAAGGAGTACCAGGTTGACCTTTACGGGTCATTTCAGGGTAATAATTGTCCTGTACAATCTACGGGGTGTTATATATGGTCGAATAGTCTCGCGTCCTTGAAACTGGTCCATCCACCATTGAACTAACTGGTCCCTCTTGTTTCCGCAGCTTGCGGGTTGCAGCATCCGCTGACAAAAAGAAATACTTACGTGTACCTTATATATATATATATATATATATATATATATATATATATGGTGTTAATGTCGTTTTCATGGACCAGTTCTAACCATCGTAGAAATGTTTTTCTTACTTTTTGTTTTCTTCCTCGTTGAAGATGAACACGGTTGGTCAGTCAGCAGGAGGAACCTTAGTGGTTAAGTAACTGGTTCGTTAGAATGTTTATTTGCTTAGGGCTCTTTTGTCAGGAGTCCGACTAGTGTTATGACGACCTGTTAACGTGGCCCCCTGTTCTCCACCTCCCCTCATTGCTTACGAGTTCGTGGAACGCCTTTCAGTCGTCCCCCTTCCCACCCCCCGTAACTCCTGTCCCCTTTAGGTTTCTTTTCATACTTTCGCGTCGTGTTCATATTACAATCTCTTTCGATTATCGATGATTTTTCAACATTACTTATTACGGTAAGATAATATAAGAATAATACTAGATTTACAAGATATTTTGATATAACTAGCCAGTCAAAATGACTTAACGAAGTAAAAATAAGAATAGTAACATATATATATTTATTTATTTATTTATACTTCGTCCCTTTTTCGGTTTGGAGGGCTTCCGATATAATTTTCCTTTTTACAAAAATTCAAACAAACAACTATTATATATTCTATCTCAATACATTTAAACATTCAACATATAAGTTTCGTAAAAGTGATATTATTTAGTTATAGCTAAAAAAATCATGATATCATTACATAAACGAAAATAAATTAATACATTTGCGTTAGGAAATTTAATAATAATTGAAATTGCATGTGTCAGTCATTAAAATTGTTTTGATAAATCTAACGATGAGATATCAATTAATCGATACAATATCAAATTTCTATAAGTCCGCGATAATCTATATATAAATAAGCTGGATGAAGAAAATGATTTATCCGAGTAGATTAAGAAATAAAAGTTAATAGAATGAATATTTATAAAAGTAAACGCGTGTGCTTCTGGAAAACTTTCGTAGGAATTATACCATTTACGGATCATTACACCAGCACGTTTCGTACACAAGGTATAGACGGGACGGGTATTAGACAAACGCGTTTGGATTAGAGATCAAGGATGAAGACGTTTCGGCTCGGTGGAACAACTCCTTTCATCAATTATAATCGTCGACGTGGTGGACAGTAGCCGTTCATTAAACGCGTATATACGAGGCCGCTCGTTGCTCGAAGAAAAATACGCTAACGATACCGCTCGTGAACGTGTTCTGAATGCTGCCTTCGTTCGTTCCTATGTATTCGTAATCTTCTCCTCCTCCTCCTCCTCTTTTTTCATTTTTTTTTTCTTGGTCTTGGTTTTCATGGTACTGCATGGCTGCAACACGACCGATTCCCGAGCGAACGTGCGTTCGGGAATAATGCAAAGTGTGGAGTCACTCTGCGGATGGTAGTCAGGTATCGCTTCTGCTTCTTATTTATATAAATGACCAGCGCATAACTCTGAGCTCCCGAGAACTAACACACGAGTATTCTTTCCAATACATAGTTACATACACATACACAGTAGTAGTAGATGATCCTTATACTTATATGTATATACACACATATACACATACGTGCGAGAATTCGAAATGATCTCGCAACGTGTCGAGCTCGATGATAAATTAATTGTCGAGGATTAAGCAACGTTAATGTGTAATTTTACGACTACGCAATATACCTTGACTTTTCTCAATCATACACGTGGGCTATGCACGACGGGACGGAAATTTAATCGTAGGTAATGGTTTTAGGTATATATATATATAATAAAAGGTTGTTGTTTTTGTTGTTTTTGTTGCAGTAGTAATAGTAATAGTTGTGTTATATCTACTATCTTTTATTAGATTATTGTAAGGGGTAAGATAGGATTAGTTAAAAAAAAAGAATATCTTTCCTTTTATATATCGATTAACATTTTTTATTTGAGATTTAGAATGTTAAAGTTATAGAATATGTTTAGTTTGAAATGAAAGCTAGCTAGCTAGCTAGATATCTAGGCGAATAGGGTGGTGTGGGGGGGTTTGCTTCCTTCTGCGTTTAAGCGACGTGGCGGATGGATCGGTTATGGTGTTCATTGTTGACTCGTCACGGCTTTCAAGAGTTACCTTCCTGCTTGAAAGGACCCATAACTTGTCACGTTCAAACCATGGACTACCGTGGCTTAAGGACTGTGCACCTACCTTTCGCCGAACGTTGTTCAGTTAATTATGACTAATGGCTAACACGTTCGGGAGTTTGTGAAAAATGAAATAACATTTAATGGTTAACTCGTCTAACGAATAAGAAAACTTTATTTCAATGATTCGAAACATTGAAAATCTTTTTCTTAAAGAAGAACACCATTATTTTCCACTTGATTACCAACTTTATAGAAACCCAAAAGCCGTTCCTCCTACTCCTCCTCTTCTTCTTTTTCTTCTTTACATCATCTAATATGTGTTTTATTATTATTCCTTGTTTTTTCTTCTTTTTCTATTTCTTTTTTTTTATATAGCATATACGCCTAATTCAATTCTCGAAGAAGACGCATCAAAGATTCCTCTATTGTGCGTATCCACCCTCGAAGCCAACAACAACCCCTTAACCCCATTTACTTTTCATTCACGAAAGAATTCCCATGTTTCTTTTATCGAAAACAATCGCGCGTCCCATCCTCGCAGAATAAATCGTTCTCGTATCGGTCCGCTTGGGGAAGAAAAAAAAAAAAAGAAAGTAGAAAAAGAAAAGGATAAAAGAATGAAAAAAACCAAGAGACAAGGAGAAAGAGAGATAGAGATAAATAGAGGGTGGTTTTTTGGGGGAGGGGGTAAGCCAGTGGTTCTCTAAAAGAACGACTCAATAAATTCAATTATATATTAAGGTGAATCAAAAAGTTCATGAGTTTTGTAATTAATATTATTCAGAAACAATTTATTATGCACTTTATAACACAATAAATGCACATATATATAATATAAATAGGTATGTTAGGGAATTTGGACATTGAAAAGAACTAGAACTTCGTTTTAATTAGTTGGACGTTTCGTCTTTTTATTGGGACTTCTTCAGCAACCCATACATTATAAAATATTAGATGTTACCTTAATCTATAAAGTTCAGCTTCTTTTATATTTAAGCAGACATACATTCTTTTAATATATTCAAAACACTATACATTTACACTTCGTTATCTCTTGATATATAAAATATAAAATAAAATGTCCAGTTGCTGAAGAGGTCCCAACAAAGGGACGAAACGTTCAATTAATCAAAACAAATTTCTAGTTCTATTTGAATGTGTCCAAATTCCCTAAGAGATACCTATTTATTCATAATTTTATTTTTGGAAACAAGAGAAACAATTAATTATATATAATATACATAAATATACACAATATTAGTATTTAACTTAGAAGTGATATTCCAACTTAAGTAGAGAAATTTGAAGTAGAGAGTCTGGGAACGAATCGATTGTAATCAGAGCCAATCGAAAATTATCCAGGATCAGGGTTTGACTGTATGCCGTATATAATCGATGAATATTAACTAGCAAACACACATCGGTGTGTGTTCGAGCGGTGGAATGAAGCATAGTCGGGCATACAGAGAGAAATAGAGAATGAGAGAATGAGAGAGAGAGAGAGAACGCAGGAGCCGAGAGAGTGGACCGCGTTAGAGTATAACGTGGTTGTGAGAGTAGGAGGGTACATATTCATGACGTTAACGAGCCTCCGTCGAACGTTTAATTCCGCCAACCGCCTGAGTTAGGTAAGGGTAACTCGCTCGGCAAACACGAGCCCTAACTAACCGTGCATCTCCCAGTTCTGTGCTCGTCTTCTCTATCTATCTCTCTCTCTCTCACTCTATCTCTCTTTATCACTATCTATCTATCTATCTATTTCAGTCTCCGTCTGTCCTTCAATTTCTGGTCTCGTTCCTTCCCCATGATCCACCAGGTCCATCTCTCTCAGTGAAGCTTTCTCTTTATCCGGGCCCTGTCCTCTGTTTGTCTTTCTACACCGCGGAAGAACAGTTCCGTCGGGTCGCAAGTTGGTTGGTTGGTTGGTTGGTTGGTTGGTTGGTTGGTTGGTTGTCCCTGCTTATGGTTACATAGCTTTGGCTACGCGTACAGACCTAGTAGCATCGGTATACCTCCTCGAATGCAGATTGTACAAGTTTATGGTGGTTTAGCCCGTTATACGTGCTCTTACGGAAATGGTCTCCGACAACTTTGACGTTATATTCTCGGTCTGTATGTAATACGCTTACCGTTTACTAAACTTTTTCTATTCCGTATACGACAAGACGAATTATGAATCTGAGATGATGATGATGATGATGATGATGATGAGGATAATGGATATTGTAATACTTTTATTCTAAAACAAAATCAATTTAATTTACCTTGACAAAATTGTCCTTGGAAGAAAAAAAGATAAAATAAAAGAAGAAGAAGAAGAAGTTCAAGCATAGGGAGGAAATTAATCAGGTTTTCAAATCCGATTTCGTCAAATCAAACGTCAGAATGATAGAATAAAAAGGACACGGTTGAAACGGCGCTAAAACTTGAAACAACTATCCAACCAACCAACCAGCCAACCAACCAACCAGCCAACCCGCGTATATTTAACTCGGAATCATAATCCGGTCTGATAACCGTGGTGGATGAACCGCGCGGAACGAGCAAAAGAGTTCGGCGGGCGTTAATGCGTTTTGCATCGATCAGCAGACCGCCGCCGCGTTTCTGCTTTCGATACTCTTGCAAAAGAGAGAAAGAGAGAAAGAGAGTTAACTAATACAAGGATAGAATATAGGGGGGTAACTGGCGTAACATGAGAGGGAAAGAGCGTGCTAGTCCGCGCACATTCCAGCGATCGGATATCTTGAGTCCACCTTCTCTTAGGACGTCTTACTTATAATATCTGGACGAGCCTTGGGTTAACGTGTTACAGGAGTGACTTGCGTCTTGGTAATTTCATCCCCGGTATGGTGCCTCTCTTTCTTTCTTTCTTTCTTTCTTTCTTTCCTTCTCTTTTTCCTTTTTTTTATTTCACGAGCCACTACCTCCATCATCATCGTCATCCTCGTCGTCGTATACTTTCGTACCTCGTAGTTTCTCTCTCACAGCTTATGTCTTCACTAACACACGTGAGAATGCTCTCTCTCTCTCTCTCTCTCTCTTTCTTTCTTTCTTTTTCTCTATCCCTGTCTTTATTCCCCTCTCCGTTCCTATCTCTGTCTTGGTTCTTTTTCTCATTCTATCTCTTTCTCTACGAAGAATCTCTGTTTGCCTACAAACAATCCTCTTCAGAGCAAGCTCAGCCTCTTGTATGCATTTCCTCCTACTGTCTCTTTCCCTCCCCTTTCCTACTTTCTTTCTTTCATTCCCCACGTTTCTTTATTCCAGTCACTGTCAATTTATCCTACTCCCCTTCTACATCACTCTCTCTCTCTCTCTCTCTTTGATTTTCTACTTCTTCTTCGTATTCTTTTTCTCTTTTTATTTCTACTTTTTAGTGTCGTCTCCGTGTTCCTCAGACTATGTTCTCTCTCGCGGACATTTAAGTTTTCCCACGTAGAAGTAACACCGATTCATTGTTCTGACAATCATCGGCCGACCAGATTACGCCGCAGACCATTCGTAAAGACACCATAGGCAACCTTTTCTTCTTTTTCTTCTTCTTCTTCTTCTGCCATTTTCTCACGAGATAATGACATTCCCTTTGCTCTTTTACGCCGACTTTTAACTTTAAGTCATTCATTTTCTTTTCATCTTTTTTCTTAAGTTTCCAAACAAATTTCGATCTATATATTAACGGATGCTTTTTAAGGATTATGCGTGTCGTCGTAGTTTGGTATGGGTAAGAGGTTAACATCTATCCTGAACGAGGTCGTTTAATACGGATCAGTGTTAGATTCTTACTCTCGAAGGAAGATGAATCGATAGATCTCTAAGATCCATTTTGACAGTCAGCCTTTTGTCTTACGTTAGGTATTACTACTCCTTCTGATTGCTTTCATTTTCTTTTTCATTTTGTATTTTTATCTCTTATCCTACAGGATCCTTTTTAAAAGGAAAGAAAGAGAAAGAGAGAGAGAGAGAGAGAGAGAGAATGCAGACCCTACCTTCTTATCATTCAGGTATCACTATTTCGATCTAACTCGTTTGCTTTCTTAGGACCACCAACCTTTATTTCTTTTTATTATACCACACGGGGGTATAATCGATTGGGTACGATGTTTTCTTTCTTTTTTTTTTCTTATAATTCTCATTGGTAGATTTATTAAGATAAATAGAATTTTTTTTTGTGCTATATGGTAATTTTAAGTTTCCACATTCTCAAGTTATTATTATTATTTATTTATATGTTACATTCTTGTATTATCTGGGTATTTCAGAAATCGTTCAAACGATACATCTCCGAATACAAATCAAATCGTAAAACAATATCAAGTATAAATAACAATAACACACAAAGTTTAATTCGCGTTCCTTTTTTTAGGATCCGTATAACAAACTGGATGAAGTTGATATCTAAGATGGATTTTGACAAGCAACCCATTGTTTTACTCTTTGAACGAGGATGAGAATGACGATGATGATGATGATGATGATGAGGCTTCTCGGACCGTCGTCTCACCACTATCGGAACATCCCTACTCGGTTGAATATAATATAAGACCTCGTGGTACGTATCTCGTGGGCGTTGGTGGATGATGGTGTTAGTGGCGCCAGAGATAATCCTCGCGATAGTTTCCCCTTCTTCTTTCCCTTCACGTCAATCAGGATTGGATTCGGTTTAGAGCTCTCTATAGTTGAACCCAACGGATCAGAGGTGCTCAAACGGAATCCAATAGATGATGGTTGAGTCGAATCGTAGATTCATGGGGCTGGGGGCGGGAATGAAGGAAGGAAGGAGAGAGGGGTTTGGGGTTCGAGTTATTCGATCGGTTGTTTACTACGAGTATTTTCTAAACTACATTTTATCTGAGTTGAATTTTTTTCTGCTCACCCCCTTTACCACCACCACCACCACCACCACCACCACCACCACCACCACCATCGAGTATATTATATCACAAAGTCGAATGAAATTTCGACTACTTTGGAATTAATTGGTTTATTATAATATGTTATATTTTATGTAAATTACGAATAACAACAACAACAACACGTATCTCTAATTATTCAATCGGATTAGCAGAAAGCAGTAGTAGAAGCAGCAGCAGCACCAACAGCAGCATCAAGGTGCGGCTCGAGAACATTTCCGCGATGCACATTTCCGCGTTCGCGAAAGGGGGATGATGACGGTGTTGAAAGTAACTTCAATCCGGGAAACTCGTACTCAGCCAAAGATAGATAGAGAAAGAGAGAGAGAGAGGGAGGGAGGGAAGAGAAAGAGAAAGAGAGAGGAAGCTTGTAGTCGAGGGAACTTAATGGCTATTTAATTCCTAATCCAGACGCAGTAGCTCGCCGGCGGCGCTACTTTCGCAGTAATCTGCGGCCCGCGTTGGCTGGGTGGCTGGGTGGCTGGCTGGTTGGTTGGTTGGCTGGTTGCCTGGCTGCTTGCCGTCTTCCTCGAAAACAGAAATACGCCAAAGACGGTCTAATCCAGCACATCTGGGATTCATGAATCCCTCTGGCTCCTCAACGCGTTGCGCCACTACTACTATCTCTCTCTCTCACTCACTCTCTTCTTACTCTCCTACTCATTCTATTTCTTTACTTTGCACACCACCGTTGCTTCCTCCGTCCTTTCTCCTCCTCATCGTCGAGTAAGTCTGGGAAGGAAAGAAAGAATAAGAGAGAGAGAGAGAGAGAGAGAGATAAAATACCTCTTGCTACCCGCCTACACGGGTCTAACCAATCGGCCGGCAGCCCCACTCTTCCACTTTGTAGAGAGCTACTTCCATATTTACACGGGAGGTAGTCGCAAAAGCGAAGTTAGACCGGTTGAGCTGATTTAAGCATTCGTTATTATAATTCTTGGGGGAAGTTGTGCTTGGGTACAGCTCTGAGTCTCTATTACTACTACTACCACTACCTATTGCTGTTACTACTACTATTACTACTACTTCTGAGTTGTAGTAGAGACTTTTGGAAGCTCCAAGAGTAACAAAGAGAAAGAGATAGAGTGAGAGAAAAGCCTAGCTCTCCTAGAAAGCCCGTTACTACACGTCTATCTCTTAACAGCGAGATTGGAGTACTAATTTTCTCTATGAACCGTGACAGTCGAGTTAATTTGAGTACCGCGTCGTTTATCTTGACAGGAAGCTTTGGTTTCTTGCAACAGTACTTTATAGTTAGTTAGAAAAGAGCAAGCGAGCAAGCGAGCAAGCAAGCAAGTAGCGTTGTTATAACGTTCAACCAGAGACAACAAATTCTTGTCTCCCGTTGTCTCTTCAAATGAACAACATACCTTAATCATACGAATTAAATTGGGTCAATCGTTTAATTGTTCCATTTAATTGCATTCCCTTATGGTACTTTTGACTAACGTAAAACAAAAAAAAAAATGTATTATCCAAATTCCAAGTTGGTTAGGGTGGACTACAATACACGGTTTTTCGAAGTAATGAAGATAGAACCGAGACTGCTATCGCTGCGTGATGATTTTTTGATGAATCTCGTCATTAGTCGATTTCGGAGTAATTAGCAGACGAGAAGTCAGAGTTCCAAGCCCCCACCCCAACCCAATCCATCCCAACCCCATCATTCTCTCTCTCTCTCTCTCTCTACCAATGGTTGTTCTCTACACCTTGTGTCCCGTGATAATTAAGTTCGGTCTTTCGTAGCACGCGCGCTTTTAGCCTAAAGGTATCCATGTCTTGAGCCGAGTCGGTCTCCTAACCTCAAAATCCATCGTCAACGATTAATTTCCCAAAGTCCTCTAGGCGAATTTTAAAGTCCGACGATCGTTTCGCCTGTCCGTTCGTTCATCCGTCCGTTCATCCGTCCGTCCGTCCGTCCGTCCGTACTCTTAATTAATAACAAAGGCAGCTGCTTTACCGCTGACGTCATTACTACACTTTTTGCTTCCAAATCTCTCTCTCTCTCTCTCTCTTTTTCTCTTTCTTACTGTCTCCCTCATTTATCGTTTTCCTTTTTTTTTTTTTATTTTTTCTTTGTTATTTTTTTTGGAACTCCTCTTTCACCACATCTTTTTAACGCATTCTTTTTCGTGACCATTTATTCGCATGTGTTTACACGAAGGTACTGCAGAAATATTTGGGGGCGAGGGAGGATTTGATAAATATATTTGAATTTATATTTATATAGTATTTTTATTGTATTTATTGGTATTAAATCATTTGTGTACAAATTGTCCATTCGCTGCAAGGTTTAGCTGATCACGATTGGCATTGTTTGTATATTCACTGTGACAGCGTAATGCACACTGTTAGTACTAAACCAGATCATTACCGAATTACTTACTGATAAAAGAGTGTTCTTTAATTTAATATAAGTTTCATTAAAATCTACTCACTTTTAGCATAAAAAATATTTACCGAAACTTTTCAAAGAAATTGCAAAGATGCACAATTTACAGCATTGCATTCTCTGATATTTTCTGCACTTTACATTTGATTTTCATAACTCGACAAAGTATTTTACGCGTAGACAAAATAGTGTACTTTAATTTAATATAAGAGTCATAAAAATCTATACACTCTTTTAGTATAAAAAATATTTGCCGAAACTTTTCAAAGAAATTGCAAAAATGCATAATTTACAGCATTGCATTCTCTGACATTTTATGAACATTTGCAGATCGATTTATATCTCGACAAAGTATTCTACGCGTAGAAAAAAGTATGTACTTTAATTTAATATAAGTTTCATTAAAATCTATATTCACTTTTAGTATAAAAAATATTACAAGTATATATATGTTTTGTCTCGATGGTAAGTAAAGTAAATCGGAACGCGAACTACCAAAAGGACAAGATAAAATATTCCCCATCCCTCCCTCTGACAATATCTAGGATCTTGTGTTAAGCTTCTGCAAAGTGTATCGCCGCGGTCCTTATTTCGAAAGGGAATCTTTTGGCATGGGTTTTGTGAAAAAGAGAGGAGAACAGAGAAGAAAAAAAAGAAAAAGAAGAATAAGAAGAAGAAGAGGTAGAGGGGGTCGATAACGAATGGGCTGGTCGTTACGATAAATGTCTTACTCCGGGGGCTCCGAACGACCGACCATTGGTGAGAAAGAGAAAGAGAAAGAGAAAGAGAGATCGTGAGATAGAGAAAGTGAGATCGAAAGATCAAAAGAGAGAGAAAGACCACTGGGATAATGATATTATTACGGGGCATCTTGATTCTCTTGGGCCACACTATCATCATACGTCACCCGTTGCGCGCACGCCGACTTCTCGCTGAAATCCATGGCGTATTACGGGCATATATTTCCACCTCCTGCGCGTTTCCAGGTACTACCTACCTCTATCTACCGACGTTCATTCTGACGTTGACCAAAGCCACTTGCTTTTTGCCAGCCGGTTACAAAGTATGATGATCCCTTAGCGAGGACAGATAGATAGACGGATGGAAGGACGGACGGACGGACAGATACCCTGATGAAATCATCAGGACTCTTCGCACCTGATCGTTCGTTTCTTTCGTTCTGTTCTTCGTGCCGAGCGTTAATATCAGAGAGGAGCCGGCTGTCAGGACGAAAACTTACATCGGAATGAAGCAATTTGCTCGGAGCTCTCGCGAAACCCCCCCCCCCCCCTGCTCTCTCCTCCTTCTCCTCCTCTCCTATCCCAATCCTTCATCCCCTCATCCTTTGCTTTCTTCCTTTCTTTCCTTTTCCTTCCTCCCCGCTTCCTATACAAGAAACCACAAGCTTCCGTGAACCTTCAGCTTTATGTCACGCTTCTCCTACTTCTTTTCTCTTTTTTTATTTTTCTTTTTCGTTCGATAAGGACTCCTATGGTTGGAACGAATGTCCTTTCATTTTTAAACGACTTTTTGTGTGTGTGTGTGTATTTTTTTGTTTTCGTAATCTTCTTCAAAAAGTAACTTTATGAGAACACATTATTCTTTACATTCGCGACGTAATAATCCGAGTGTTGTTATATTAACACTGAATTTACTGACGATTTAAGTACACCTGTTTATATATTGTAAGGTTATTGGTCATTTATAACGTAATTTAGATTTAATGTTATTAATAATAGTGAATTTGGTATTGCATTGATTGGAATAATATGTAAGATGATAATATTTAAGATTGTAATTGTTTGAATTTAAAATTTGTATTTTAGTTTAATGTTAAATCAGTTTAATTTATTTATGATTAGATTATAGGATGTTAATCAGTCAATTCATTGATGATTTTTGTATTCTTTATATAATATTTTGTATTCTTTATGTAATAGTGTTCGAAAAGTTATGGTAGGATAACGATTTAAAATTGACTCTATATATAAGATAGTCAATACTTATGACTGTAATGAGAAATGATGTTATATTGACTTGTGAACATAACTATCGAGTTGCTGAGGAAGTCCCAAATATAGGGACGAAACGTTCAACGGATAAATAGATTGTTCATTTAATTTAAACCTGTCCAAAAAAAAACATCCCTAAGAATGAAACTTAGTAATAATAATAATTAATATTTAACAATTGATTTTTATATAGAATATTTATGAAAATAATAGTTGAATTTTGTAAATGATTACATATATATATAAAGTAAGAGATAAGCATTTTAGCGCCAGGACAAAGGCATGAGAATCGAGGAATTAACGAACGGAGGCTGCAGCTTGACCTCGTTGCCCATTGTGAAGTGCAAGAAGGAACTCGTATCGTGCGAGAACGAGATAGATGGAGAAATGGATAAAGACGCTTTCAAAGATGAAGAGAGGAGAGGAGAGGAGAGGAAAGGAAAGGAAGAGAAGAGGAAAGGCCAACGTAGTCGAGCAAGCAGCTTCAGCATCCTCTTTGACGAATTATTCTCTCTACAGCAGTGATCCTCAGATATTTTCCCCAGGATTGTATCATCATAACTTGTTTTATATTATATTCGAAATATTGAAATGTTAAATCGTTAAGATTGAGCACCACTGGGTCTGTATTCGATTAGGATCACCGAAGGATGTCAGTCATCCTTTTGTTTTCCAATGCATTTACCTTTCGTCTTCTTTCTTCTTCGATATGATGGACGAACAAGTTCAGAGTAGTCATTAACTCGTAAAGTTATTTTCTTCATTCATGCTTTAAAACGTTGTTGAAAGATATAGTATTGAGTTGTTAGAAATGTTCATAACGATTTATAACAATAATAGATACGTTTATATATTTGATATTAAACGTTTGTTAAATGGAATATTGTTTGTGATAATTTTCGGATTTGTTTGATCTGTTTTTATCTAATATGTTTGTGTAGTTTGTTAATTTTTAAGAAAGGGTAGTTTTTGTTAATAACATTTTTAATAAATTGTAATAGAACAAGTTATTATTATAACAGGGCAAAGTTTTAATAAAAAGAGAAAGAAGAAAGAAGATTTTTAAGTTGTTCTCAAATTTCGACTAAGTATATACGAGAATTTATGTTAACTTTTCGGAACGTGTTAAAAATCAGTATGAACTTTCCAATAAAAGGATGATTCTATTTAATAATGTATTAAAATAGTGAAATAGTTATCGAGGAAGGGTAGATTTTATTAATAATATTTTTAACTTGTTCTCAACTTT